CCTCTTTCTTCTCTTTCTCCTCCTCCTCCTCCTCCTCCTTCTCCTCCCCCTCCTCCCCCTCCTCCTCTTCCTCTGTGGGTCGTGGGACCTCCTCGTGGCCGAGAGGCTCCCCGTTGCCGGGAACGCCTCCTTTCCTCCCCTGCCCAGCATGCCTTGGATGGTCGCGCGAGGGACCCCGACGCGGGGCCCACTGATCGGCCTGGACTTAAGTCGGGCCTGTCCCCCTACAGGGGGATCTTCGACAATTTGTTTTTAATACCCCAGAAATAAAGACATATAGTCCAAACATTGCCTGGGGATTATTTTTCGGGTTATGTTTTACCTTCTTGGGGTATTTTGGGGGTATTTTTATTTTTCGTCGAGAATCCCCCTGTAGGGGGACACGCCCGACATGAGCCTGGACAGGGTCGCTGGGGCTGTCGGAGCTGACGCTCCCCCGAGCCGCTGCTCCTCCGCTCTCCCCCCCCCTCTGTGGGCCTTCGCGATGGGCCGCCGTCTTCCGCTCGTGTTGTGGGTGGTAGGTGTAGGTACTTCGATTCGCGATCGGTCCTATCCTATCCTATCCCCAGCCTGGCCCGAGCCCTGCCTTGGTGCGGCCTGCGGTGCGTGGTGCTGTCCGCGTCGGGCAGGGCCCTCGGCTGGCGTGTCACCTTCCTGCCGCCCACGCCTTGGTGTGCTGCACGACGGCAGGTGCCTTTCCGGGCCTCCCAGACGGGGTCGGAGCAGACGGGGTCGGAGGATCGCGCCGCATCGCCGATGCATCGACGATGCGGCTCGGTGTGAAGCCCGATCATCGCCGTGCCGACGGTGCCGATGCATCGCCGTCGTCGCCAGGTGCATCGGCGATGCGTCGGTGATGCGGCGCGTTCCTCCGACCCCTCGGTCCCCATCTAGGAGGCCTCTAGCGCTGGAATCCGGAGCGATTCTTGAGGGCGCGGCCGCGTCCGTGCGCCTGGTACCTCTACTGACTCCGCCTCGTCGCTGCGCGCGAGGCCGCTGCCGCCAAGGCGGTGTCTTCCCGCGGATGCTGGCTTCGTCCATTGCGTGCGGTGTGTTTTGCCTTGAGCGCTGGCTCGCCTCACGCATCCCGTCACCTGCCAAGCCTGGTGGCATGCACGGAAGCGTGCTAACCCTCGCTGCGGTGGCGCCACCTGGCTGGCGGAGGGGAACAGGTTGGGCGTTTGTGTTCCCAGGTTGCATGCCCGCTTCCTGCACGGGCACCCGCTGAGGCGGCCTGTTTCCGCTTCCGCACGCGTCGGCCACGTCCTGGCCCCACATAAAACGACGCCAGGTGGCTTTTGAACTAGGCGTCAAGCGCCCCGGTGCTCGACGCGTTGACATCCCACCCGCCGACGACAGGGCTCATTTCGATTCCCCCGATTCGGTTCGATTCGACTTCGGTGGATTCCGATTCCGATTCGATTCGACTTGGGATTCCGATTTGAGTTCCGATTGTTGATTGGAGGCGTACTAGACTGCCGATTTCCGCCGATCCGACTTTTCCCGACTCGGCTGCCGATTTCCGCCGATCCGATTCATGCTGATCGCCGATTCGACTTATCGATTCGATTCTGGGCTCTCCTGCGACGACGACAAGGCGTGTGTTCCCACTCCCTCGCCCTGCGCATCTGCGTTTCCACAGGGGCCCCCCGTGCTCCAACGCCCTCTCGGCCCGTCTCCTCCTGGGCCCTGCACCCGAGGCGGCTCGCCGCCTCCCTGGGCACCCCCCTCCCCCTCCCTCGTGTTGTGCCTGCCCTCCCCGCGCGCCACCTCCCCCGCCTCGCGTGCCCTCCCCGCTCGGGAGCGGGAGCGCACGTCCACGGATCCGAGGCCCCGCGGGCCGTCCCCCTGGGCCGCGACCCCCGTGGATGCGGGGAGATACTTCACGGATGCCCCGGGGGGGGGGAACGTGCCTGTGCGACCGCGTCGTTATCCACAGGGTCGCGCCTCAGGATCCAGGCCGCGAGGGAGTAGATTGGGATATGGATACACTTCGAACGAACAGTTTTAAATGAGATGCAACATTGTATAGCGTATAGTTTTCTGCTGTCAGTGACCCTTTCGCTCCTGCGTGCGTGCCCCCGCCCGCAGTACTTCAAGCTGCAGGAAATGGTGGCCTGGAGCGACCTCCGCCTGGACTTCGTCGTGGGGGGCGTGTGCCACTGCGGCGCCGCTGGGGGCCCACAAACCGGGGGCCCTCCCGGCGGGGTGCCGCGGGCGCGCGCGGCCTCTGCCAGAGGGCCCCGGCGGCCGGCCCTACGGATCCGTTCGACTCGAGTCTGGCTCGAAGTCGACCCCAGTTTCAAGCAGTGGCGAAGCGTCTTGGCTCGCCTATAGCCCCGCCAAGCAATGCTCTCAGAACCTTTTGTGGCTCCCACGAAATAATCTTAGAACATGTCTGGCGAAGTCTGTCTTGATTTAGCACATCGGATTTATGTTCTAAGAACAGTGTTTTTGTTGTTAGAACTTGTTGGGGTTCTAAGAACATTTCGTGGTAGGATTATAGGAATGCTGGGACGGTCGGTCCCTGCTCAACAGTTCGGTTCGAGGTCGACTAAAGGCGACAGATGCCCGACGCAGCACCGGCGCGTGAATGGATCAAGTGGCTTCAGGAGGATCCTCGACTAGACGTAAGAGTGACCTTTCGCCGGAGTTACCTGTGGTGTGGGCCCCATGGGGCTCCCCGATCGCTGAATGCGAAGCGTGTTGTTGTTGGTGTTGGTGTTGGTGTTGGTGTTGTTGTTGTTGGTGGTGATGCTGTTGTTGTTGTTGTTGTGCTGTTTGTTGTTTGTTGTTTGTTGTTTGTTGTGTGTTGTGTGGTGTGTGTTGTTTGTTGTTTGTTGTTTGTTGTTTGCTGTTTGTTGTTTGTTGTTGTTGTTGTTGTTGTTGTTGTTGTTGTTGTGATTGTTGTTGTTGTTGTTTGTTGTCGTCGTCCCACCCGCAACCCGCCACGCGACCCACCCGCGACCCAACCCGCGACCCACCCCGCGACCCACCCGCGACCCACCACGCGACCAACCCCGCGACCCACCCCGCGACCCACCCGCGACCCACCCCGCGACCCGCCCGCGGCCCACCCGCGACCCAAACCACGTTCAGTGTACAAACCAATTTTTTGGGCGCCTGCGGCGGGCTGTTTTTGCATTCCTTCCAGGTGGAGGTGGAGAGCCCGCGACCCACCCGCGACCCAAACCACGTTTACTGAAACAACACAATGCCGCACAAGCGCGGCGGCGGATTTTTGCGTGCCGTCTGAACCTGCGAAGACCTCTTCAAGCCCCGCGCATCCACACCAGCCCGTCCAGCAACTTTGCCCTGGCGAGTTGCCTTGATCAGAGAAGTCGGGGAGCATCAAGTGGAAAAAAGGATTGCGTTGCCGTTATCTTGGGAAAGGAGGGGGAGGCAGGAGGAGTAAACAGGGGACGAGGAGGACGCGGAAGAGAAGAGGATGTAAGGAGAATGTGGTGAAAGAGGAGGAGGAGGAGCAGGAGGACGAGGAGGGGGGAGGGGGATGAGGGGGAGGAGGAGGACGAGGAGGGGGAGGAGGGGGAGGAGGGGAAGGAAGAGGACGAGGAGGGGGAGGAGGGGTGGATGATGATGATGATGATGATGATGGACGACAATGGGAGGACGATGATGGAGGCCGATGAGGGGGAGGACGACGATGGAAGGGCGATGATGAAAGGACGAGGGGGGGAGAGGGAGGACGAGGAAGAACAGGAGGAGGAGGAGGGAGGAGGAGGAGGACGATGACGATGAGGACGATGACGATGAGGAGGAGGAGGAGGAGGAGGAGGAGGAGGAGGAGGAGGAGGAGGAGGAGGAGGAGGAGGAGGATGTGTAAGGAGGAGGAGGAGGCGGAGGAGAAGCGCGCGCATCGACAGGGAAGGTGGGGGCCACGAGGTCCGCCGGCTCGACGACGCCCGCGTCGCCCGCGCCCGCCCCCTCACTCTTATCCGCAATTGCGGGGTGCTACGTTGATTTATGGCGGCATCGTCTTCGGCACACTAGACTCGAGAACGCACTGACACGGCACCCGATTCGCCGCATCACCTTTGCAAATCATTTCGTGCGGGGCCTCATCCAGATGATACGTGGCCCCCAGAAGGCAGACGTAGCATCTTGTTATTTAATCGCTTCGCTCATTCCGCCGGCCCATACAGTCTCATGTCTGCCGTTTGCCCGAGGGCCTGGTGTCAATGCGGCGCTTTGGGGGTTTCCTGGGGCCGCTTGGGGGACTCCTGGGGCGCTCGGGGGGGCATTTGGGGGGCCTCCTGGGGCCGCTTGGGGGACTCTTGGGGGCCTCCTGAGGGCCCCGTGGGGGCCTCTTGGGGCCTCTTAGGGCCCTCGTAGGGGCTTCTTAGGGCCGAGGGCTCGAAATGTTGTTTCGTGTTCCCTCTCTGGGGCCCCTTTGGGGGCGTTCTTGGGGCCCTCTTGGACCGTTTTGGAGGCTTCTTGGGCCGTCTTCGAGCCCTCTTGGGCCATCTTGGGGCCCTCTTGGGTGCCTCTTGGGCCCTCTTGGGGCGATCTTGGGGGCCTCTTGGGCCGTCTTGGGGCGTCGGGAAGCCGAAAAGGTGGAAGCTCCAAAATCTCTCAAAAACCTATGGAAAAACAATGATTTTTGCCTCCGGGGGCCCTATTGGGAGTGCTCTTGGAGGCCTCTTGGGGCGTCTGGGGGCTATCTTGGGCGTCTTGGAGCGATCTTGTGGCATGTCGGACCCCTCGTGTACCATCTTGGGGGCCTCTTGGGGGCCTCTTGGCCTTTCTTGGGGCTCTCGGGGACGTCTCGGAGCCCTGTTGGTGCGCTCATGGAGCGCTCGGGGGGACCCGGCCGGGACCTGGTCGGGGTACTTTTCGTCCGGGGACCCCCAGGGGCCGCCCCGCGCGCGCGAACTAGAAAATTGTTAACCAGTTACCGGAGATCTTAGCACGCCTCTGGCCCGTTGGGCCGGCGAATTTTGTTGTTGCAACGTTCACCTTCTAGGTGGCGGGTGTCCCGCGAACTGCAAATTCGTTGAGTAGGGCGCTCAGGTCTTTCATGATTCTTAAGGGTACCGTCCATGGGCACTTGTTCATTGCTTGCGTTGGTCCTTCGTTTCCTGGACTTTGTTCCCTGGTTCGTTCCGTGATCTTGCTCCCTGGATTGCTCCCTCCTTCCATTCGATCCTGGTGAGGTCCCCTTTTTTTCCCACGCCCCTTGCACGCTGCTGTATTCGATCGCTCCCTTGTTTCCTCGCCCCCTTCTTCTGCAGACTCGGATGTGCAGGATTCTGTCCGCATGATGAGATATCTCCCGCCGTCCCCCAGGCACCAACTCGCTGCGCAAGAACCTGCTCAGCCACCGAGACGTCGCCATCACCATCGACGGAGACACCCGCCGTCTTGGAAGCTCGGCCCCTCCGAGAGCCGGCGACGGCAGAAGTCCCGTGCCACCAACATTTGGATTGCTCCGTTGCCCCACGAGCTGGTGCACTGTCTTGGCAGATCAGTATCGTTGAACCCATCCCCATCCCCATCCCCATCCCATTCCAGACCCCCACCAGCTTACCACCCCAGTTGGGGATACGCCCCTCGAAGCCCGATGGGAACGGCCTAGATCCCCATCCAGAGGGGCACATCGGCCAGTGGAGCCCAGGCCACGCCGCTGGGGATGGGGATCGTTTCAACGATACTCAGGAGGAGTGGCCTCTCAGGTGGGCTGGGCCGAGGGCTCGCCGTTCGCCCACGGGATACATCCGTGATGCCCCGCGGGTCTCCACCCGCCCATCCACAGACGGCTCGCGGACGAGGCGCCTCGCGAAGCACAGGGGAGGAGAGCGCGGCCGCGAGGGGGAAGACAGCAGCGAAACCGGAGGCGGACAAGCCCAGCAACCTCCTGGAGCCTCTTGGAGGGCTCTCGCAGACCCGGCGGCAGGCCGCCAAGACGACGCTCGAGGGGGCAGGGCTGCCCACTAGTGTCTGCTAAATAAAGAACTGTTCGGGTACTTCGAGGCCTCCCGGGGAACTCCTCCTCCTCCTCCTCCTGCTCCTCGTCCTCCTCCTCATCCTCCTCCTCCTCCTCCCGCTCCTCGTCCTCCTCCTCCTCCTCCTCCTCCTCTTCCTCGTCGTCCTCCTCCTCCTCCTCCTCCTCCTCCTCCTCGTCCTCCTCCTCCTCCTCCTCCTTCTCCTCCTCGCCTCGCCCTCGAGCCCCGAAGGGCGCCCCGACAGACTACAGTCCAGGCCTACCAAATGTAGTCTGAGCAGACGGGCTCGGAGGATCGCGCCGCATCGCCAATGCATCGCCGATGCGGCGCCATGCGGAGCCCGATTTTCTCTGCGCCGATGGCGCCGATGCGTCGCTTATCGCCGATGTGTCGCCGATACGGTGCGATCATCCGACCCCATCAACTTGGACCTCAGGGCTGGACCTACACGCTGTTTTGCTGGATTCCGGCTGTGTCTTGTCTCTCGTTTTGGCAGGGAGGCACCGGAAAACGGCAGAGCACAACGAACATCACGGCGAAAACAAAACGAGCAACGACGTTTGGGTCCAGCCCTGCTGGACCCCATCCAGGAGGCCTCCCCCGTCCGCTCCTCCTCTTGTTGCTGCCCTCCCGTGCCGTCTCCGCCCGTCGTGCATCCCTCGCCTCCTGGGGTCCCCCCCCCCCTTTTCGGCTGGTGGCGCCACCTCTACAAGGAACCGGCCCTGCGTCCCTGCTTGCTCCTCGGGGCAGGGCCAGGGACGGCTTCAGGTCTACGGTGAAGTCGGGCCTGTCCCCCTACAGGGGGGTTTTCGACGAAAAACAAACAATACCCCAAACATAGTCCAAACATGGTTCAAACATAGTCTGGGGACTATTTCTGAGCATTTTTTAAACTTTTTTGGAATATTTTCTGGTATTCTCTATTTTTCGACGTAGGGGGACAGGCCCGACTTAAGTCTACAGCCAAGTCCGCCGTGAGCAGCAGCAGCAGCAGCAGCAGCAGCATCTGGGAGGTCTCCTAGTACCCGAAGGGCCCTCCTGCCCCCCCGCGGGCCACTCTGTGGCCGCCCCTCCGACGCCCCTCTGTGCGGCCCCGGCGCCTCTCGGGGGCCCACGGGAGGGGCTCGGCCCCTTCCTCGGCGCGCCCCGCGGCAGTATGGCTTGAAGTCGGACACCCACTTCTACAGGAGGCATATCCAGCAGTTGTCAACAAGAATGCGCGGACGATGTTTCCATTGCTTCTGCTCATTCATCCGCATGCCGTCACTGTGTTTCATCGTTCGCCCAAAATCAGTGTGCAGGAGGGCATGCCCGCGCCCGAATAGTAGCTCGATGAGACCTCGCGGGTGCCTTTCCCCACCTCGACACCAAGCCGGCCCGAGGCTCGCTGGCGCGGCCAGGCCCGCACCGACCCTCGTGGGCGAAATGATGGGCCCATTTCCACCACCAGTACCATGGGTAGGAGAGGGAGGAGGAGGAGGAGGAGGAGGACGAGGAGCAGGAGAAGGAGGAGGAGGAGGAGGAGGAGGAGGAGGAGGAGGACGGGGAGGGGGAGGAGGAGGAGGAGAAGGAGGAGGAGGAGGAGGAGGAGGAGGAGGAGGAGGAGGAGGAGGAGGAGCAGGAGGAGGACCTCCTCATCCTACGTATGGTAGCGTTTGTGGAAAAATTGCCCTTCTTCGTCGGCGGAAGGTCACGCAACCTTATCCGTACCCGCAGCCTCGTGGGCGGCCAGGAGCCCCAGGTCGCGAGCCCGCGGCCACGGGGCGTGTGCCTCTTGCGCGGCTGCCCCGCACGGAAGCGTGTACGGGAAGTTCACGCGGCGTTGGCGCGCTGGCGACACCAGCGAAGGCGTCCAAGGTTGAATTCTTCGACGCGGAAGCACCGAGGGACACGGTGACGCCATTGGACGGCGGAGTTCAATGTTGAACGATCGGGGCCGCGATCGATTCAAGATTGAACGATCGACGCGGTGTCGGAAACCTCTGCGCGCACCGACGCCGGCAAACCTACCATAGTTATCCGTGCGACCTCGTGCCCGCGGCATCGCGGCCCCGGAAGCCAGACCGCCATGGCGTGGATACGGACAGGATCACCGCTTCGGCAGCGCCGCTGCGACTCGCTCGAACTTGCAGCGGGTTCCCGGAAGGCCTCGTCCATCGCTGTTTCCCGGCACGTGCGCCGTCAGGCTTTCCAGAAGCTTCTTCTTTCCAGAGCCGCCAGAGCTCCATCGAGCGGTCTTGGGGGTGCTTCTTTCGGATGCAACTTCTGGGAGGGCATACTCCGACTTTGCCCTGGTCCGAAAGCCGGTTCGATCCCGCTGAATTGGGCCTAATCGATGAATCCGCGGTCCAATCCGGCGTAGCAGCCCCCCAATGGGGCTCAATCCTCCTTCACCGTTCCGACGAAGACCTCCCAGCAGTTGTTTCCTAAGCTTCTGTCGCCCCGCCATCCGGGCTTGAGGCCACCACAAGTTCGCCGCCCGTGAATCCTCGAGCCAGCCCGAGGCTTTGGCTCGACCACGTCCGCACAGGTCTTCGCGGGCGAACAACGGTATCACATTGACTCTTCTGTCACCGGGGGCCCTGCCCCAGGGCGGCTGGGAAGTCTACCTGGACGGGCCACCGTAAGGGTAACTTTCCAGCCGCCCTGGGACAGGCGCCCCCGACAGCGAAACAGTTGCTGTTATACCGCTCCTCGCCCGTGAAAGGCCAAACAACGCCTCGCGGGGGAGGGCAGCGCCCGCCGGCACCGCTGTTGCCCTGCCCTCCCCGTTCCCGCGCATCTCCCAGCAGGACCCCGGTCCGACGACCGGGTGGGCTTGGGGTCGGGCGCGGACGTTCGGGTTCGGTTGCGGGTCGTTTTCCCGGGGTTCGCGCATTGGTCCTCGGCGGCGTCGCAGTCTCGGGGTGCTCCCAAGGAGCTGCGCCGCGCCGCAGGGTGTATTGCGGAGCTGCCGGGACGTCCCCAACGGCCGCGGGAGGCTTGGCTTATGACCCGAACGCCAGACGACGAGAATCACTCGGGTTGGACGCCAGGGTGGGATCAGGGGCAAAGTTATGCGGGGATGGGCTCAGGGGGGGACGCATCGACTCTCCCAATCGCCCGTGCATCGCCGACAGGGGACTCATAGTCCCCTTCCGCCCAGTCTCGCGCGAAAAATGCTACGTCGAGGGCTCATCGCCAGTCCATCGGCGATGCATCGCCGATTCCAGCTCGATGTTTCTTTCCGCCCCCCGTCGGTCCCCGCTAACGTTCCGCCTCGGGGAGGGCCTCGAGCCAGCCGAGCCCTCGACGAAGAGACGAGTCTCGAGGCCCTGCGCTTCTTCCCCTGGCTGCTGCTTCCCGCAGCCCCCCAAATGTCAGCATTTCGCCGCGCCTTTCCTGAGATCTGCGTCTCGGTCTCGTTGGAAAGGACTCCGGCTTGGATATCCTGGGTCGGTTTGATTCATAATGGCCATCGGCTCCATGGTGGCCTCGGCCTTGGGCTGAGGCCCTCTGGGGCCCACCGCTTCCGAAACGCAGGCCTCATGCTTCGAGCTGAGGCCGATCGCCCTCTTCTCGGAGGGTCGGGACCTCGAGCCAAGTCCTGGCGCGAGCTCGACGGTGCGTTTTGCCCGCGCGGCAGCGACGATTTCCGGGCGCTCCCAGCCCACCAGCTGGGGGTCTCATGGTACACGGCTTCGCCCGAAGGCGGGGTATTCGAAAGCGAACCCAGCTGGACCCCGGTGTTTCCCAGACTCCGGGGCTGTCCGTCGCGGTTTGCGTCACCCCCCCTACCCTGAGGCACTACAGTCAAAACTCATAGCATGGACGCATGGCTGTCCCTGGGGTACCCTTGCGTCCTTGCCTCTGCGTCCCCTCCGTCGTGGTTTTCACTGGGCAAGTCTTCAGGGTGTTGGCAGTCCGCCTCCCCAAAAAAGTGCCAACTTCGGCGTCCAAGGCCCGTGCGTGCTTACCGCCCGTCCTTGGTATAGATTTGGACAGTGCAGCCAAACTGCATCACGAGCATGGGAAACTTTCCCACAAGGCCCTTTGCACCCTCGCCCCTCGGCCCTCCCAGCCTGCAGCCCTGCGACACGGGCCGCGGGCTTCTAAACCTTGCCTCCAAAAGTTGGGCGTCCAAGGGCCCTGCCATTGTTCCTGCGCATCCCCATGTGATCCAGTGGCGCTGCGCCCCCGCTGAGCGAGCCCCCAGCCCAGGGGCCGCACCCGAGTCCGAGTGCGGCGTCCTGTCCTGCCCAAGGCCGGAGGCCTTCGTAAGTTTGCGGCAGCCGCGGCGCGAGCGCGCGAGCCGACGCCCGCCCCGGAACTCCGACGTCGCGTTCTTGTTCACAGCGTGGACCCCCCGAGGTTTGAGCCCGCCCTGGCCTCCTCGTTTCGCACAGCGGATCGCAACGCCAAGGGGTCCAGGCCTCTGGGGGCCAACGTTCTGACAGAACCACGGCGCCGGAGCTCTGGGCCTGCCCTGGGCCCCGTTTTTTTTTCTCCGAGTTTTTCCGTGACGGCCCCAGGGGCCTGGCAAGAGGGCCTCCGGAGGCCGCAGACGGCCCCAGATCCTCCATCGTATCTGTTTGTTCGCAACGCGAGGAGGTTCGGGGTCCCCCCCCCCCCGCGCCGAGGAGAAGACCAGTGGTTCTCGGGGGTGGACAGAATCCCCCCGCCAGGAGACGACGTCGATGCGTGCATTGTCCGCTCTCGGTCCTCGAGAGGGCGCCGCGGCCGTCCTTCTTTCCAGGCTTGCGCCCGCCAGGTCCGGGCCCGAGGTCGTTTGCACTAAAAAACCACGCTTTGCTACACCTGGCATCGCTCGGACGTGTGCATTTTTTTCTCGGCGAGGACCCTGGAGGAGCATCCTGGACCATCGAGCAACAAAAAAACACGCACGACATCGGCAGATGCACGGGAAAAAGGGACGTCCGAGCGACGGCAAGTAACAGGGGGGTTCTGTCCCTCCCCCGAGGTTCTCTCGGCACACCCGGAGCCTGCCCTACCGCTCGGAGGCGCGGGCCGCAGGGGGGGGCGGGCGGGCGGCCGGCGGCCTGCGTCGCCGCCGCCGCCGCCGTCAGCGCCGTCGTCGCCGCCGCCGTCAGCGCCGTCGTCGCCGCGGTGCTCGCCGCCGTTGTCGCCGCCGTCGCCGCCGCCGCCGTCGGCGCCGTCGCCGTCACCGCCGTCGTCGTTGTGGTCCGCGCCGCCGCCGTCGCCGCCGCCGCCGTCGGTGCCGTCGTCGCCGTCCGCGTCGCGCCCTCGTCGCCGCGGGGGCCGTGCTGGGGGCTGCTGCCTTCCACCAGTCGGGTTCTCGTTTCCGCGGGGCCGGATCAGACCACATATCCCAATATGCATTACCCGAAATTTGGCAGACGTTCGGAGCGTATTCGAAGCCACTGCTGTTCTACATCATGCTCCGCGGCCTGACATTTTGCAGACCATTCCGCCCTCCGTGAGATGCACCGTCATCCTCAACCCTGCTCCTCCACCGCCACCTCCCGCCCGCCCGAGTCCGAGCAGTGGCTCTCCCTCGCCATCCTCAAGATCTGCCCCCCGGCGCGCCTCGCCCGCTCTCCCCACCACTCCCCTTCACGCCGCCCTCCCTCCCCGCCACCCCCGTCCGCCGCCCGCCCGCTTCGGAACAGTCCCTCCTCGGCATCCTCGCGCCTGCTGCCCGCTGCGCCTCGCCCGCCGCGCGCCCGGCGGCCCGGCGCCCGCCCCCCCTCCCCCACTCGCCATGGGTGTTCGCCGCCCTTTTGACTCCGTCGGGCCCCCCCTGGGAGCTCCAGCGGGCACTCGGGGGGAGCCGGGGGTGCTCGGAGACGCCCAGAGGGTCCTGGGGCATGCCCGAGGCGCTCACGGACGCGCGCAGCGCGCCATGGGCACCGGGGGTGCCCCGCGGGGGTGGCCCGGGGGACGGTTGGGGAGTGGGTCTGGTCCAAGAAGTCCGACGGAGCCCCCGCCTCCTCGGCATTGTTGGGCGTGCCCGCTCGCGTTGTCGGAGGCTTCCTCGGCGCTGCGTGGCCGCTTCGTGCCTCCGGCGAGTCCGAGGAGGCGTCCCCGGAGTTTTGTTCGTCTTGGGCCCAGGGGTGGCCCGCCGCGGGGGGGCCTGCCGACAGAAAGGCCAGGGTGAAGGGGAACTGGGACACACAAATAAATACACACAAATAAAATGATCCCCCATATTTTCCCATATTTTCTGGGTGTTTGTCTTCCCCCCCACTTCCCATATCTTCCCATATTTTCTGGGAATCGCCGATTAATTGTGTCTGTGTGTTTTTTCCCCTCCTGACAGGGGCCGCGCGGCGGCCCGCCGCGGCCCGCCGAGGGTTTTTGGGCGGGGGCGCCCCTGCCGGGTGCTTCGGCGGCCGCTAGCGCGCGCTCGCTCGACCTCTAATTAGCCCCTCGGCGGAGCCGCGCGGAGCGGGCCTCTTCCGGCGGCCCGTTCCGCCCTGCCCCTTTCAGGAGGGGAGAAAACACACAGACACAATTAATCCTCGATCCCCCAGGAAAATATGGGAAAATATGGGAAGTGGGCGGGAAGACAAAAACCCAGAACATATGAGAAAATATGGGGAATCATTTTATTTGTGTGTATTTATTTGTGTGTTTGTGGGCCTCTTCACCCTTGCTCCGCTTGATGGGCGAAGAACGGTATAAAATAAACTCTTTCGCTGTCGGGGGCGCCTGTCCCCGGGCGGCTGGAAAGTTTATACCCTTACGGTGGCACCGTGGGGGGATAAACGTTCCAGCCGCCCGGGGACAGGCGCCCCCGACAGCGAAGAAGTTTATTTTATATACCGTTCTTCGCTCGCTGATGAGGGGCAGGCCTTTGACGCTCCTGGCGCTTTGGCGGCGTCCCTTCCCTCCCTCCGTCCGCGACGTGGCGGCGGCGTCCCGTCGGTGCTTCGGCGTTCGGCGGCGGCTCGCTCCGAATTCGGCCCCGGGGCGGCCGTCGCCGCGTTCCCTCGGCGCGGGGTCGCCGCCCCGGGGCAGCCGTCGCCGTGTTCCCTCGGCGCGGGGTCGCGCCTCTGGCCTGCGGGGCGGCCGCTGCGCGGAGAAGCATCTGCGCGCTCCTCTCCGACACTGCCTCGCTGCGGCTTCGAGGGCCCAAGGAGCCGTGGGCCCCCCGTGCCGAGAAGCCGTGCGTTCGAGCACCATGTCTGGGCAACGCCGGGCCCGCGGGAACGATACGATGATTTGAGTGGTGGGGCGCGGCAGGCTGGGGGGCGCTGCGCCCAGAAAGCCCAGGCAGGTGCCCCCGCTGGGCCCCAGGGCGGCCCGAAGTCGGGCATGTCCGTCCTCAGGAGGAATTTTGCAAACAAGTCAAAACATGGTATGGGGACGGCTGTCTCACCATCTTCGAATCTGTTTGAATCTTTGCGCGGCGATTCTTTTTTATTGTTCTTCCAGGGTCCCTTTGTGGGAGGACGTGCCCGACGCATCCCTGGCCCCCAAAGCCCAGCAAATGCGTGTGGTCAGAGGTGCATGAGGCGCCGGGTGCGGGCGCGGAAGCTTTCCTTAAAATCAGCTCGCGTTTCCTGCGCAGCCCCGAGCGGGCGCCGCCGCTTGCCGGCGGTTCGCGGGAGCGGCTGGCGCGCGAAGGGGGGACGTCCTTCCAAAGAGGGCACAGGCGATGGGGGGGTTGGCTCTCGGCAGACAGGGAGAGGCTTCTGCGAGGGTTCCTTCGAAACCTCCGAGGAAACCTTCCCAGAAGGCCCGAGGGAGCCGACCCTCAGGCCGGGCATGTCGGCCTACGGGCGCATGCTGGAGGACAATTCTTTTCAAAAAAGTATCAGAATGCTAAAGGAGAGTGGAACAAAGTCCGAAAATCGTTTCCTGGCTTTTTTTCCATTGCTCGTTTGGCATATTCCTCCTGTAGCGGGACATGCCCGACTTGAGCCGACCCGCCACGCCCGCCCGCCTCTTTTCCCCCCCGTCCCCGGACCCCCGGTGCCGCGAGTCGCTTCGCAGCGTGCGTGGAGCCCCCGCCAACAGAGGTCTCGGCCTCTCCCCCAGGCAGGGCCCGATCTCCACCCCGAGGGCCGCTTCTCGACGAGGGCCCGGGGCCCGGCGAGGGCCCCCCCCATGGAGGAGGCCGACGCTATCGTTACGTCGGGCTCGTCCCTCCACAGGAGGAGCATTCAAAAGTAGTGCACCACTCGTCGGGGGGCGCGGGACGGGGGGGGGGGGCGGGCACGAAGGGCGGGGGCAGCGAGGGCTGCCGAAAAGCTGCCCTTGAGGGCGGGGCGCCCAACGGGGCCCTCTGGGGCCCAGGAGGGTGCCGTTATGGGCCCTATAGAGGGAACTTTTCTATTCCCCCCCTCGAGGGTCGGCGCCCGCCGTCGGCCACCCAAGAGGGCCCCCCGTCCTTGCGCGTTCCCGATCTCTCTCGCCGGCATCCTGCAGCCATTCCGCACGTCGGGGCCGCCGCAGCGACCCCGACGTGGCCCCGGGCCCCGGGCATCTCCGCCTCTTCCCACGGGCTCTGCTCGGGGGCGGCCGACGAGCGCGTCTCGTGGCCGAGGTCATGGGGCCTCTCTGTCACCCGCCGGTTGTTCGACGTCGACGCTCGCGAGTCTGGACCAGTCCCGGGAGGGGTTTTCGGAAGGGGCGCGCACCCCTCACGCCGCTACCCAAGGGGTCGACAAATGTCACAAGCCATTGTTGCTCATTTAATCGCTTCGCTCATTCCGCCGGCCCTGGAGCGCTCTATGGGGCCTCTTTGAAGCCTCTTGGGGGCCTCTTTGGGGCCTCCTCTAGGGGCCTCTTGGGGGCCTCTTGGGGGTCTCTTGGGGCTCCTTGGCGGCGTCTTGGGGCCCCCTTGGGCCTCTTGGGGGGCTCTTGGGTGCCTCTTGGGGCGGGGTAGTCGGGTGCACCCCCCTCGGAGGCCACGATCCTCGTGAGGGGTGTCGAAGAAAGGCCCTCAAACCATCTCAGAGTAGACCTGGTCGGGCTGCGGTCGAGATACTTTTCGCCGGGGGACCCCCAGGGGCCGCCCCGCGCGCGCGAACTAGAACTATTGTTAACCAGTTGCCGGAGATCTTAGCACGCCTCTGGCCCGTTGGGCCGGCGAATTTGCTGGAAAGACCGGGCATGAGGAAGGGACCTCAGTTGCCATGGGTCCCGTCTTGTTGTGGGTATTCGATGGAGTCTCTCCGCCCTTCGCCGCTGCCGTGCCTTTGGACGACCACTTGCGTACGTCTTGCCCCTCACCATTCTTTGGCGTGACCCCAGCGCACGGCATTCACGGCCCACCAACCCAGCCAATGCCGATCGGGGTAGTTAGATTCCCACCGATCGGTCGTGTCCCCCCTCGGTCGCCACGATTTCGGATCTCCGGGCGCACCCTCGTCAGGAAAGCACAGCAGTCTTGGCCTGGGGGTTGGGAAAAGATGGCTCCACCTGAGTGCAAGAGCACTGCCACAGTTTCTTTGTTGTGTGGTTCTGCTCGCACTATCCTTGTAAAGGCCGCCCCCAGCATGGGCACGTTGCTGGAGCATCTCCCGACAGCGGTCGCCTGACCTCCACAGGGGGGAATGGAGTCCACGGATCTGCATTGAATGTAACACGCATGCGATTGAGTCTTTGGTTGCGAGATTTGCCCAGGATGGGACTGGTTATTGCAGGCGAAGGAGAAGGCTGCGAAGACACTCCCAGGCCACCCAACCGTGGGCCACCTTCAAGCTGCGAGGCTTTGGATTCTTGTCCGACCATGTCTTGAGAAACATCAGAAACGTGTCATTCATATGGTCGGGTTTTCCCCAGGCCCGCATCCACACACACCAATACTCAGAAGCCGGGCGAAGGTTGGCAAACCCGTGGCTGCTAAAACGGAGCTCCGGGACTTCTTGTTTCTCTACCAGGAGGCAGTCCGTTTATTATTTCGTGCGCTGAGTTTTATCATGGGATTTTGTTTTTGTTCTTCCCGGGCAGACCGTTTTAACAGCCACGGATTTGCCAGCTCTCGCCCAGCTTCCGAAATACCCCCGACGTTTTTTTGGTTATTCGCACTCCCGAGTGGTCTCTGGACCTTTCTCCCTGGGGATCGGCTTTTCATCTCAAAGCGTCCTCGCGTTGACGGCCTCCGGGCCTGGCGAGGGACCCCATTGGACGAACCCAGAGCATCCCGTTGCGATTTGTTGAACAGCGCCAGGACACGTAAGCAGCGTAAGTTCAAGTCGGGCTTGTCCCTCCACAGGAGGACTATCCAAAAATAGTCAAGCAACAGTCTCGGGACGATTTGCCTCTACCACTTTTGTGTGTGTGTGTGTGTTTGAATATGTTTGGAGTATTTTTTCATTTTCGTCCAAAATTCGCCTGTAGCGTGACATGCCCGACGTAAACGTAATTAGAACAACGGGGTCGTCTTCGCCGACAGTGGTGGTTGAGCTGCCCGCGGAAGCCTCCGCGTGAGGTTGCCATACCATCTCGCGTAAGACCTTTTTTTTGATCGTGGCACACCTGGGTTCGGTGGCATTGTATACCTTCTGAATTCCGCCTTTAGCGTCGACTAGCGTCGATTAGCGTTTGGGGGTCGATGACATAGCGCCGATTTAGCGTCGGTTAGCTTCCACTAGCGTCGATCTTGCGTCGATTAGCGTCGATTCAGCGTCGACCAGCGTCCGTGCGCAAGAGCCGACAGGATGGTACGGAAGGCCCCCATGGGCTGCCCCCGAACCTGGGCCCCGGCCCTCGCGTGCGAGGTGGAGAGCTTCAACCGCGCCTGGACGGACACCGGGCGCGGCGGCTCGAGGCCCAAGGGCCTTGCCCACCCCTCGACGTTCGAGGACTCGCGGACCAGGCAGCCCCGCCTGGCCTCGCTGCTCGGGCGGCGGCCTTCTCCTCCTTCCTCCTCCTGCTCCTCCTGCTCCTCCTCCTCCTCCTCCTCTTCCTCCTCCTCCTCCTCCTCCTCCTGCTCCTGCTCCTCCTCCTCCTGCTCCTCCTCCTCCTCCTCCTCCTTCTCGTGTTCCTCCTCCTCCTCCTCCTGCTCCTGCTCTCCTCCTCCTCCTCCTCTCCTCCTCCTCCTCCTCCTCCTCATGCTCCAGCTCCTCCTCCTCCTCCTGCTCCTCCTCCTCCTCCTCCTCCTTATCGTGTTCCTCCTCCTCCTCCTCCTCCTCCTACTCCTGCTCCTCCTCCTCCTCCTCCTGCTCCTGCTCCTGCTCGTCCTCCTCCACCTCCTCCTCCTCCTCCTCCTCCTCCACCTCCTCCTCCTCCCAGGCGGGGCCTCGCCGTGGGCGCGCCTCGCCCGCGGCGGGAGGCCCAGTCGGCGGCGGGCCCGCCCGCGGGAGCCGGCGAGCTGCTGCCTCGGCGGAGGGCGGCGGGCAGGGAGACGTGCCAGGAGGGGAGCAGGAGAGCAAACAGGCACAGGGAAACGTCGGCTTTTCCCCGAAGACATGGGGGGTGAGAAGGGAAGGGGGAGAGGGGAAGACGAGAGCCCTGGACATACACATATATATATATATATGTATATATATACGTTTATGTATATAGATATACATATATACATATATATTTATATATGTATATATGTATGGGGAAAGATGGGGAATCCTGTGACTCTTGTAGGTATTTCTGTGTGTTTGCCTCGGCGCCCCTGCAGGGAGGGGTGCCGGCGGGCCCCGGGCTCGGGGCCTCGGGCGCCGGCGGGCAAGCGAGGGAGCTGCGGGCGGGAGGGGCGGAGGCGGACCCCTCCCTGGCCTTCCAGGAGTTCTACAGAACAGCACAGGCCTTGAGCTTGTGGTTGAGGAGGAGGAGGAGGAGGAGGAGGAGGAGGAGGAGGAGGAGGAGGAGGAGGAGGAGGAGGAGGAGGAAGAGAGGAGGAGGAGGAGGAGGAGGAGGAGGGCTGTTGGTTGACACCAGCCCAGGCCTTGAGCTTGACACCAGCACCAATATCGGCGGTGGTCCTCCACCGAGGGAAGGAGATCCCGGTCTCGGTGGTGGTAATATTCTGGCTCCCAGGTGGCCGCACTATTGCCACCAACGCCGAAATCTAGGATCATCCCCCCCCTGTGGAGGCTGTCTTGGTGTTGGTGCCCATTTCCAGGCCTCCAAGAATAGCGCCAGGACCTCGACCTCAGGGTTAATAGTACTACAGGGCTGACCATGGCTGAAACATAGCACCAGGATCGAAAGTGGCCTCGCCCAGTGCTGAAACATCATAGCACCAGGGTTACTTCCTGTCGAGGTTCAGGGCAGCCCAGAGAGGTCTATTGGTCTGGAGTGATACTTCTTAGTCCTTTGGAACGTCAGGGAAGGTGGGGGATGCGGGAGGGTCGAAAGAAGCGGCCTGTGCCCTGGGGCTCGGGGCCCATGCCGTCACCAAGCGCCGCCCCATCCTGGCGCCCAGCACCGCCGCAGCCGCCGCCGCAGCCGCGGGGCCGCGCAGTTTGAGCAGGGCGGTCCTCGGGGGGGAAGGGTCCCTCGGAGGCACTCGGGGGGACCCCAGGCAAGGGGACCCGGTTAGTAATTTGTAGGGCCCTGGAGCCCATAAACTGGCCAGAATCACTAAACCAGGTCTGCCGTAGCTCGTGTGTTTCGGGTGGCGGCAGTTCCGGTTAGTGGAACGGGGTGGGGGGGCGTCCCCGAGTACACATCATTGAACCAGGTACCACTACACCTTAGGCGATGCTTAAGAAAACCTAAGTTTTCGTCCAGAGTCTCGATTATTCTTAACTTTCCAATGTAAATCCCAAGATTTTGATAGAAGTTCTGGGTTTTATTCCATTTCTGAGACTATGAATTTCTTAACCCATGGTTTCTTAAGCATTTCGCAGGGTGTAGACCCAGTTCTGCCAACGCCCGAGGGTGCCTCGAGGCGCACCTGTGCTTAAGAAGCGCTGGGGGCAGCGCGGCGGCGCCTGCTCGCCTGGTGGCGCACAGCGCGGAGCTCCGTGTGCGGAGCTCTCTTGGATCGGTGCTATAGGTCTCCCTGGCAGCGCCTCCTCCTCCTCCTCCTCCTCCTCCTCCTCCTCCTCCTCCTCCTCCTCCTCCTCCTCCTCCGCCTCCCCCTCCTCCTCCTCCTCCTCCTCCTCCTCCTCCTAGCGCCGCCCCACGAGTCAGGGAGGGGGGAGGCACGGCGCAGATCCCCCCAATCGTTTGATCTTCCTCAACGCCTGCGTTGAGAAGGCCACGAGATTTTTGTGGGGTGGCGCAGGGGGAGCTTCATCGGGGAAAGCCTGGCGGCGGTCCTGCCAGATGTGGGCCCTGGGGCGCTGGAACCCTGGCAGCGGCCCCCCGCGCCCGGAGGCAGATCTTGTCCCGGATGCCCGACTTGCGGCTCGTCTTCATCATCTGTGACCCGGTCGGGCGGGTGGAGAAGGACGCGAGGGCTGCGGCTGCGCCGCGAACCTCCCGCCCGTGCGGGTCCTCTAGCCGGTTTTCCCTCCGTCTCCGCGGCGGGCCTCTTCCATTCCGCCCACTCTAGCGTGCCTTGGCATCGCTCGGACTTGTGCACTCGGCGTGGATCATGGAGGAGGTGAGCGTTTTCGTTTCCATCCCCGGCGTAACGCTCGTTACCCGGCCCTCCCCCCCCGCGGTAGCGCTAACGATCGTGCTGGGGGGGGGGGTCCTGCCCCCCCCTCCCCTGCATGCTGAGAGCGGACCCCCCGCAGGTATGGCGCTGTGCTCAGAGGCGTGGCGCGGCTTGAACGGCACGCATTGGTGCTCACAAACGTGTTGTCGCGCTCGCAGTCGTCGTCATCGTGGCCGTCGTCGTCGTCGTCCAATGCAGCTGGCGATGGCTCAGCTACCGCAGGCTGGTTTGACCATTCTTCCGCAAGTGCAAAGTGCGGGGGCTCTCTCTCTATTCCTTCTGGCCGGTGCTCGGTTGCAGTGCGATACAGTCAACGCGCCTGATAACTAAGGACGCGCGCCTTTCCCAGGGTACCCTTGTGTCCTTGCCTCTGCGGCCTGTCCTTTGCTGTTTTCAGTGGCCAGCTTTTGCCAACAAGTTTCCAGCGTTGGTTTCCATTGGTTTTGCGTCGTCACCACCCGTCCTCAATGCACGACTTGTTTGTGGACCTAGCTCCATGGAGAAGATGAAGACTGCGCGGCCCCGCGCCTTCTCCCGCGGGCGCTGTGGCTTGCGCGGGCGCGGTGGTTCACGCAGGCAGCGTTGTGCACACGGGCGCTGCGTTGCACACGGCTTGTGCGGTGCACGCAGGCGCCATGGTGTACGCAAGCGTCGTGGTGCACGCAAGCATTGTGGTGTATTCCGACGCTGCGTTGCACACGGCTGCTGTGGTGTACACAGGCGTTGTGGTGTACGCAAGCGATGTGGCGTACGTATGTAGATTCCCCAGGCGCGCCATTTTCCATTGGGATCCTTTTTGAACGTTTATTCACGGCGTTCGGTCTTTGGGGAATCCATTCGCCGCAATTTCCATAAATATTTTTCTTCATCCAACAAAAGCTTTCCTGTGGAATCCAGAGGCGCCCCGCTTTCCATAGCGATTTTTTCCAAAATTCATGGACAAAAAACAGTGTTTCGTGGAATCCAGAAGCGCCCCGCTTTCCAGAGCGATTCTTTTTCCAAGTTCGCACACGACAAATAGACTTTCGCAGAATCCGGAGACGCTCCATTTTGCCGAGGGTTTCTTTTCATATTCCTAGTATAGACAATGGTTGTGTGTAGAATCATTGCATCAACAACGGTATTTGCAGTATACACAGGCACCGCGGTGTGCATAAGCGACGTGGTGCTGCAGTGCACGCGGTTGTTGTGGTGGAGGCACTGTAATGTGCACGCGGCGTACACGGGTGGCGCTTCGTTGAACGCAGGCATTGGGCACTGTCGCGTGCACAGGGAGCGCGATGCACACAGGCGATTGATGCGCCGGTGGCGCGGACGCACGCCGCGGCCGCCGTTACCCTTACCCTCCCGCCCGGACCCCCCACAGGCAACGGCCGCTACCCACGAACAAAAAATCGGTCACGAGCGTCCTGGATCACTCAGCCAAGAATCTAGCACGCGCGAAAGCGACAACACGCACAAGGAATGGACGTCCGAGCGATGGCCAGGCTCCCAGTGCCCTGCGCGGCTCGCCCGCTGCGCAGACGCGCTCGCGACCGCCAGAGCCGCCGGCAATACGCTCCCCGAAGCTTCAGGCAGCTCCGCCGCCCATCACCGTCGCCCCGCCCACCCCATCCCCAGCGATGCGACGTCCTGATTTTTTTGATGCGGGGTCCCCGGAAGTCCCGACCCATTCCCCGGGTCTTGGAGTTTCATCCGGAGCCTTTTTGCTGAGGGCCCCGGGGCCCCGCGAGGGCCCCCCGAGGCCGAAGCTGGCCCAACGCCTCCCGTCCTGATGTTGTCAGGACGCGATCGCGTCTGGGTCCCCCGGCGATGCAGGGCCCCTTTCGACGACGTCCGACGGCCGTGTCGGGCGGCGCCCCGCCTCGGCCGCCCCGCCTCGGCGGGCCCGTGCGGCCCGCGTGCGCCCTTTCGCGGGCTCCCGAGGGGGCCGCGCGGGCGCCGCCTGTCGGCTCCGACGGGGGGGGGAGGGCCACTTTTAGGTTGAAGTCGGGCCTGTCCCTCTACAGGAGGGATCTTCAAACATATGAAACAATAGTCAGGGGGCGATGTTGTCGAATCTTTTTTTTCATTTTGTTGGAGCATGTTTGGGTTTTATGTAGGGTTTTCCACCAGAATCCGCCTGTAGGGGGACATGCCCGGCCTAATTCCAGGCTCTCCCTGATGGGGTCCGAGTATCAGGCGTTCGCAAACATGTGTCAAAGGGGGCGTGGATTAGCCACGGGTCCCGTTTCCATGGGAAGCCGCTGATTTCTGCCGCCGAGCGAGGCGGCAGCGGCTGTATCTTGGGGAGGGCCCCCCCCCCCCGATCCATGGATGTGGCGACCGCGCGCCGAATCCATGGAACGCTAATGCCTGTTTGCGCGCCCCCGAGGGTAAATGGGGTCGGAGGATCGCGCCGCATCGCCGATGCGTCGCCGACGCGGCTCGGTGCGGAGCCCGCTGTCCTCCACGCCGACGCCGCCGATGGCACCGCCGACGTGTCGCCGATGCACCGCCGACGCATCGGCGATGTGTCGCCGATGCATCGGCGATGCTTCGAGATCCCCCGGCCCCATCCGCTCGGACCCCGTCCGGGAGGCGTTTGGGTATCCACAGCGCGGCCACCGCCTGAGGGGCCGTTCTTCGGGGGCTTCGGCCGGCGGAGGACATGGATATGATAATATCGGCTGGTGTGGAGGATCTGGCCTGTATATCTCTGTCTAGATCTCCATATCTCTCTGTTTATATATGTACATTGTATATATATATAGATATGTATACGCATGTATACATATATGTGTATATATATAAAAAACCATAAATGTATACATGCATATCTATATTCATATATATATATATATATGTGTATGTGTATGTGCTTGTGTGCATGGCCGCCCACATCCCTACGCTATACATACAGGCGGCACGTGCGTGCCCAGGCTCCTACCGAAAGAGCTGCAGTACGCAAGCATATGTCAGTATCGCACAACCTGGACAAAATTAATCTGAAGTCGCATCCGAGGAGGAGGAGGAGCAGGAGGATAAGGCAGGAGATGGAGAAGCAGAGCAAACATGAGAGCAGGAGGATCATGAGGATCACCTCGGGGCTGATGAGAAGTAGGCGCAGCAGCGGGATTGCGTTCGAACGCAGGTGGGGTTGTCACACCTTGCGATGTGTGTGTGTGTGTGTTTATGTTTTGTGTATGTGTGTGTGTGTGTGTGCGCCGCAGGAGGGTATTCCACACATTGCGATTACAATTGAAAAGAAGCTCCGAGGCCAATGTTTGGAGGATGTCTTCAGCAAAACGGCTGTTTTGAGGAATCTGAGGACATGTTCGAATACGTCGGTATTCAATGTTGGGATGTTTCTTGTTTTTTACGTGCGACGTCCACAATCGTTGAACATCGTTCTGTTTTTGGAAGTGTTTTGTTGAGATGTTGAGGACTCCTTGTGTTTTTGGACAGTGACGTCGCGATCTGCGTGAGGGGTGCGCCCGATATTCAGAAAGTTGCAGATGTTCCGAGCGTAACGGCCAAGCAAGTCGCGGACGGGACGGGGCGGTTTCAATTCATCGCCTCTGAGCTCTACTCCCTCGGAGAGGTGCGTATGAGAACTCAGATGCACACACTGACATGCGCACACACATGCATGCACGCAGACAGACGGACGTATGTTTGCATAGGTGTACGCGTGTACATTGGTGGGCACAGATCACATGCGCATGAACATCCAGGTCCATATCCACATCCGCCGCTTGTGACCGAAGGCCGCGCCCCCCGGGCGGCGGTTGCGGCTAAACCCCCCCGCCCCGCACCGGTGCCCGCCGCCCCGCCGGCCCCCTCCCGCGGCGAGGAGCTGTGGTGGCGCCACGTGTGCCACGAGGGCCGCAAGCCGGAGGGGCCCTGCTGGAGCTCGCTGGGCGCCTTCCTGGCGGCGCCGGAGGCGCCGCAGGAGCTCGACAAAGAGCTCATGGGCGAGAGGCCTTTGGGGGGGGGGCGGCCGGGCGACCCCGTGTCAGGCGATCGCAAACATAAATGAAAGGGGCGTGGATTAGCGACGGGTCCCGTTTCCCTGGGAAATCACGGGTATCCGCCGCCGAACCAGGCGGCACCGGCCGCATTTTGGGGAGGGCACCTCCCCCAATCCATGTATTTGGCGACCGCGCGCCAAATCCATGGATCCATGGATCGCTAGTCCATGTATGCGCGCCCCCGACCGTGGGCTCCCTCCTGGGCCAGCGCCCCTTCTGCTCCGCGCGCCGTCGGCGCGGCGCGGCGCGCGGTTGGGAGTGCACCCGCGGGAACCGAGAATTTAGAGTCCCAGAGGTCCGAGGATACTAATTAGTACGATTTTCTCGTTCCGGCGGCGCTTCTCTTAGATTTCGGCATGTTTTCTGTTTTTGTTCCCCAATCCGCCTCTTGAAGGAGGACATGCCAGACGTAATTGTAGCAGAAAGTGCCCGTGGCCGGGAAAGACGGGACAGTCGGACGGAAAAGGGGGAGCAGTCGAGGTAGCGTCGCGGCGGCCCTGGCCGGCATTTTGTCCAGCCTTTTTTGGGGGGGCGTTTCTGGAAGTTTCTCGTCGCCGCGGCTGGACCCGCATTGAGAGACGGGTCAGGAAGGGCCCAGGGTTACGTCGGGCACGTCCTTCCTCAGGAGGAAGACCCAACAAATACCCAAACACGGTCTGGGGACGACTTTTCCACAATGTCTCGCGACGTTTGAGCATCCTTGCACTATTTCTCACACTTTCCTTCCACAGCCCCGCCTGCAGGAGGACATGCCCGACCGAGACCCAGGGTGGGATCTGGGGGCCGCTTTTGATCGCCGCGGTCCCGAGCGCCCCTCCTCCGAGCGGGGCGCACCCTCCAAGGCCCCCTGGGAATGCAGGGATGTCGTGGGCGAAGAGTGGAGAACACTTCGCGTGGCGACCCCAGCCTCCTCGGGAGCGCAAAAGTGCAATGGCTTAGCAACCTTCCCCATTTCCGGGGCCCTGTTGGCCCCAGACACTGTCCGACATGCTGTTGCAATCCGCAGCCCCCGATGATTCGGTGACCTCCGCTGCCCAGCCACCTTGGGAATCCGCAGATGTGAACGTGTGGAATGTACACGAAGGAGCGTGTGTGATTTGCATGCTCCCCCTCCCGCGTGCATCCGGATCTCCATCGGCGTCCGCGTAGAAGTCCGCGTGGGAGCCTGGTCCGAACTGGGACTGTCATGGGGGTCCGCATAGGGAGGGGGAAGATAAGGAAGAGATCGAAGGGAAGGAGGAGGAGAAAAAGGAGGAGGTGGAGGTGGAGGTGGCGGAGGAGGGATGAGGGAAGAACGTCGCATTCAATATTCAACACTTTTCTGACGTGGCGTTTAGCTGTCCGCAGCAGATCATCACCGACATGCTCGTTCTACCTGTCCTGTGGACGCAGGCGCCGTGGTGTCCACCAGCGCTGCGTGCGCGCGGGTGTTATGGTGTAGACAGGCGCTGTGGTGTACACAGGCGCCGCGGTGAACGCAAACACTGCAGTCTACACAGGCGCTGTGTTGCATATGGTTGCTGCGGTGCTACACATTCGCTGTGGTGTGCACCGGCGCTGTGGTGCACGCAAGCACTGCAGTGTACACAGGCGGTGCGTTGCACACGGCTGTTCGGGTAAACGCAGGCACTGTGGTGCACGCGAGCATTGTGGTGTACACAGGCGTTGTGGTGTGCACAGGCGTTTCGGTGCACGCGAGCAGTGTGGTGTACACAGGCGCTGTGGTGCACGTGGCCGTTGCGGTGTTACGCATTCGCTGTGGTGAACACCGGCGTTGTGGTGCACGCAAGCGCCGCTGTGTACACAGGCGCTGCGTCGCACACGGCTGTGTACGCAGGCGCTGTGGTGTACACGCGCGTTGTGGTGCACGCGAGCACTGTGGTGTAGACAGGCGCTGTGGGCAGGTCGCTACCTACATGCCGCTCGCGTCGTCGTCGTCGTCGTCGCTCGTCGCTCGTCGCTCGTCGCTCATCGTCGGCGTGCGCGCGGGCGCGGCTGGTGGTGCTGGAGCCGCACGGCGGGCGGGTGGGCGTTACACCCCCCCCAGCCCCCCCCTCATCCGTATGACGCCCACTGTCGCCAAAAATTGATAAAAAAAGGTTTTCCTTTTTTTTTTTATGTTTTTCGGGTTCTCCCCTTTTCCGTCCCAGAAGGGCCCTAGACGGCCCAAGAGGCTTCCGAGACGCCCCGAGAGGCGTCCAAGAGGCGTCCCAAGAGGCCACCAAGAGGCCAACATCATCGATTTCCCATAAGACAACGCACATTTTGAGCATATACGGCTTTTCGGCTTTCACGGCGTTGACGACGGCCCAAGAGGCCCCCAAGACCGCCCCAAGACGGCCCAAGAGGCTCCCAAGAAGCCCCCAAAACGGCCCAAGCGGGCCCCAAGACGGCCCAAGAGGCGCCCAAGACGGCCCAAGAGAGCACCAAGACGGCCCCAAGAGGGGGACCACGAACCAAAAAGCCTTTCGCCCCAAGATGCTCCCAGGAGGCCCAAGAGCCCCCCAAGAAGCCCCAAGAGGCCCCAAAGAGGCGTCCCAAGAGGCCACCAAGAGGCCAAAGGCATGGATTTCCTATGGGGAAAGGTGTATTTTTAGCATGCACGGCTTTTCGGCTTTCACTGCATTGACGACGCTCCAAGAAGCCCCCAAGACCGCCACTAAGAGGCTCCCAAGAGACCCCCCAAACGGCCCAAGAGGGCCCCAAGACGGCCCAAGAGGCGCCCAAGACGGCCCAAGAGGGCCCCAAAACGGCCCCAAGAGGGGGACCACGAACCGAACAGTCTAGCCTTTCGCTCCAAGAAGCTCCCAGGAGGCCCCCAGAGCCCCCAAGAAGCCCCAAGAGGCTCCCAGGAGGTTCCCAAGAGGCTTCCAAAAGGGCTCCAAAAGGGCCTCAATAGGACTCCCAAGAAGGCCCAGAGACGCCAAATAGAGAGCGATCGGTAACGCAAAAAGCTCTTCACACCAAGGCTCCCAAGAGCGAACGGTGACGTAAACAAGCTGATAAGACCAAGGCTCCCAGCAGAGAGCGGTGACTTAATAAGTTCCTGACACCAAGGCCCAGCCAAGGCTCAGGAACGGGCGGCAACGCAAAAATCTCTGAACACCAAGGCTCCCAAGAGCGAGGGGTGACGTAACACGCTCTCAACGCCAAGGCTCCCGGTACGAACGGTGGTGTGAGTAATTTCGTCTTCTGTTTCTGAAGCGCTCTTTTCGTTTCTTTGCCAGGCCAGGTGAAAGGGGCCTCGTTCCTGATTCAGGGTTCCTTAGGTCAACCCCCGATTGTAGGGGGTGGAGCAGGATGCGTCGCCGCGCCGTTGGTTCCTACGCGCGGCCCTATGTCTTGGGGAGGGCGCCGCGGCCACCGGGGCAGACGCCGCTTCGGGCGCGGTGGGCTTGCCGTGGGGTCTCCGGCGCCGTCTACCTTTGGCGCGGGACGAAGGGCCTGCCGTGGGCATGCTGTGGTGTCGGCATCGTCCGCTTGTCGCCCCGACGGCAAGCGGCGCGGCGACATGTGGAGGTGGAGCAGCAGCAGCAGCAGCAGCAGCAGCAGCAGCAGCAGCAGCGGCCCGCCTTCCGCGAGCCTGCGTTTCCGGCCGGCCCCCGCCCGCGCACGGGCCAGGCTGCAGAGCCTGCTCGAGCTCACCGGCAAGCGCATGCGGGTGCTGCATCCCTGGGGGGGGCCAGAGGCGGGGACGCCCGGCAGGGCCCCAGGCTTCTGCAGCCCCCAGGAGAATTGCCGGGTGCAGGCCCCGAGGACAACAGTCCAGAGGCCTGGGGGTGCCGCGGTGGGGAGTGTCGGTCAGTTTCGGGTGAGGAGTTGTTGAGTGCAGGGTCCGAAGAGCGGCAGTCCAGAGATGATAAGGGGGTGCCAGGGCGCGGTGTGGGGCGTCGGTCGGGTTCAGGATCTGAATTGTCGGGCGTAGTGTCTCGGAAGCAGCTATCCCGAAAACAGCTTAGCGCCCCTGCAAGCAGAAGTCTGCAGATCTCGGTTTGCTGCGTCAAA